AAATAGGCAACCAAAAGTTGTACGTGTGACTAGTTGTACTCTCGTTATACTGATGTAATATGTAAGCTGTCTTCGGATAGCCCACCCGTTTGAACTAATAAAGTGCCAGGGGCCTAAGTGATCACCTAAATATTAAAAAAAAAAAAAAAAAAAAAAAAAAAAACATTTTTGTAAGAGTATATCTTTTCCTTCAAAGCAGCAAAAAAAAACTGAAGCACTTCAAGAACTTATTCAAATTCATCCTAAACTTAAAGGAAAACCAGTTTATTTCTTTTCAAAATTAGATAGATATTTTGAAGATATATTAATGTTTGATGCAAAAGAACAAAGAACCTATATTTATAGTTTAATAAATGATTGTAAATATGAAACATTTTCTAAGTGGATAAATGGATTGCAAAAACGTGGATTATTCAAAGAACAACGATCAGCTCTTGCAACTGTTTTTTTAGAACCAAATCCTACCAGTTTATCAATTGCTTCAATTTTACGTACATCAGAATATATACTATATTGGAAATCGATAGCAAGTGCAAATATTGAAGATATTTTTTTATATATGCAAAGTGAAATTAAGCCAGAAGAAAAATTTTCTAAAACCACAATATAATATCAAGACAAATATTTTGAAATTTATTTTTTTAAACAACAACTCTTAGAAAAACAATTACTGATTAAAGCAAAAGGAATTTTAATCACATATGAGGTTTTTGTTTGTAATCAACTTGTAAAAGAAGAATATTTTCCTTTTTTAACTAAAGCAATTAAAAGAACTTATGACAAAGTAAAAAATTTTATCGAATATATATATAATTTAAATATTTGCCAAGGACAAAGTACTAAAGGTAAACATAGTAAAAATTTAACTATTTTATTTATTATATTATTGAATATATTTTTTTCGATATTAGGATTTGAAAATGTAACATATATTCATAGAACCTAATTGGTTAATAATAAACGGAATTCTCAAAAAGAACATATACCCTTTGCTTTTCTTGAAAAACAAGGCCAACCTGATGAAGCATATCGACATATAGATTGCATACTTATTATAGAAAAAATAAAAATATTTGTGAAAATTGTGAAAAATTAAAAAAAAAACTATACAACAAATTCAACGACGAATTTTGGCTGGAGTAAATTCAGTAAAAACAATACATGCATCAAAAGAGATTCTTCAAGAAAAAGTTAATCAACAGCGAAAAACTATTAAAGAACAAACTAAAACAATTATCAATTTAAAAAATCAATTACAAAAAAAAATTGAAAAAGAAGAAGAGAAGGTGTCAAATGAAATTGCAAATATTGTTCATACAGTTACCAAAAGTGTAACAAATAAAACTACAAATATTGCAAACCTTCATCCTATTTTTCAAGAACTTATTCGAATTCAATGTACAAAACTGAATGAAACAAGATATCATCCGATGTAAGAGTTTAATGATATTAACAATTATATAATTATGAAAATTAATATTTTATTTTTTAGGTTTTTACGTTGGGCAATATCTGTATATAGCAAATCTGGACAGACAGCATATAATGCAATAAAAACTATTATGCGATTGCTATCAATTTCTACACTTAAAAGTAAAGTTATATTAATGAATATGAACAAAAATCAGGATGGCAAGACAAAATTGCTCAACAAATATTAGCTAGCTTGACAGCAAATAAAATTTGAGGATATGGACGAGTAGGATTTTTCTCTCATGATTCTTTTAAAATTCAAAAAGGTAATAAGTTTACATATATTTTAAATATATATATAAATTATTAAGTATTTGATTTTAAATAGGTCTTCTTTGGAGTTAGCGTGAAATTGTTATGTTGGTTATCTAGATTTTGAAGATGAAATACAAGATTATCAAATATTTGCAATACAGTGTCAACAAGAAATCGAATTATCAACAAAAGTAATTTCTTATCTAATTCTATATCCGAAGAACCTAAACGTAAACTTGCAACTCAAGTTCATCAAGTCATTTGGCATTCAGCAACGCATAATTTTTCTTTTCCAATATTCTATTATGGTATTAATACAATGATAGCACACAATTTGAATACATTAATTTTTAGTTTGGCGGCAAAATTAGAATGCCTTGGCATACATACCTATGGCTCAATTTGTGACGGTGCTGGAGAAAACAGAACTCATATTAAAAGTTTTGATTAGTATGCCTCAACCTGGTCATTAGGTGATATCGTAGAAGTTGATTTTAATAAAAAATTTTATTCTGCTGAAATTGTAA